AGAAAGGAGCCGCGGCCACTGCTCGCCCTACCTCTGCGCCCCGGGGCGGGCGCGCCGGTAAAAATGGCGAAATGGGGGTAGTCGGCGCTGGACCTGAAGCGATGGGGCACGCAGGTGGGGCTGTTGTCGGAGCCCCCTGACGTGGGCGCCGGGCTTCTCTAGGTGATTTGATCTGGCGACCTCGGGCCGGCGCCTGAGGTCAGACTACGGAGCCCGCGGGTCGCCAACGGCCTCGCCGAGAGCCGGAGGCAATGGATGAACAGAGCGTGGAGGTGAGGGGGTTGTGAGGGTGGCGGTTAGTCCCCGCCCCCACCCGATGAGCGGTTTTTGTTCGGGGAGCCGTGCCCATGTCCTCCCTCCGGTAGGGCACCCCTACCCCACACCCCTGCCGCTGTGGAGAGGGCTGGCCCTGTACCAAGGACGCCGTTCTCATTCTGCAGCGCTCCGGGTGTCTTGTGCTCACTGTTCCGCAGTCAGGTGGTGCGTATCCTGGAGTTTTCAAGGATGTCTTGGCACAGGTACTCATCCCCACCGGGTATTTACAAACTGCATCCTGTTCCGAGCAAAACTGCAGATTCATCAAATGGACGTACCCTGCCACTCGCCACCAGTCCTTACGAGTTCTTGAGCTGATCTAAATCTCCTTCCAAATGGATAATCATCTTTCCCTCTCAGTGGCACATTTTGCAAGCTTCTGCCCTTCCTTCCTAGATTGAATCAGCATATATTATCTCATGTGTAGTTTCCAGAACAAACTCTTCTTTTTATAACTGATTCTTGTAAGCTGTGAGTTAAAATAGTTGGAATATGTAGGATATGTAAGTAAAGGCTAGGAATATTTTTTAAAAGATTGTTTATTGAACTTAATTGTATAATCATTATCAAATTTTGAACCTTTCAGATACTGAAATAGGAAATCCTTGCGCTTTAGTAAGAGGTAACTGTGTTATGGATATTCCACTTGAAACTAGTCATTCTGTAGTCTTGTTGTCCACGCCGTTGCAGGTTACAGAATCTGCATCTCCCAGGTTCTTTCTGGCCCTACAGAGTCAGGATGAGATTCATGAGTAATTTTCTCCTTAATTCCTCATGTAAAGTATTATAAAGGTTTTGTAAACTTATCTTGGTTTTAGGAGGGTTTAATTCTAGAATGGAGGGTTTAATTCTAGAATGGAGTGAAAGTAAATGTCAGTACTATAAAAACAAAGTATACAATACAATAACAGTACGTTTAATTGTATCTTTTTTCTTGTTAAAAACTTTTCAGTTAGTTCCTAAATTGATTAAACTGAGACTTGCAAAGATAATACTGTTTCTTGTATTTACATATTTTTGTTGTTGTTGTTCCCAAGATTGCTTTGAACTACCGTCAGCATTTTCAATTGGGGCAGAATCTCAGGTTCAAATAAGTAGCTAGTCGGTTTTAACATCAGGGCAGCAATTCAGATTTCTGGATTCTTAATTCATTTTCTTCTGGGTCACAGTGCACTGCCTTTAGGATAAGTGTCTTTTTAAACTTCTTTTTCCTCTAAATTATAAAATCAGTTTATACCTTTTGGAGAAATTGCAGAAAAAGTTAAAAAGTTCATGTTGTGTATTCAGTCATATAGTCTGCCTTTTTTCCTTTTTTTTTTTTTGAGACAGAGTCTCACTCTGTTACCCAGTCTGGAGTGCAGTGGCACCCTCTCGGCTCAATGCAACCTCCGCCTCACAGGTTCAAGCGATTCTCCTGTCTCAGCCTCCTGAGTAGCTGGGATTACAGGCGCACACCACCACGCCTGGCTAATTTTTGTATTTTCAGTAGAGACGGGATTTCACCATTTTGGCCAGGCTGGTCTCGAACTCCCGACCTCAAGTGATCCACCTGCCTCGGCCTTCCAAAGTGCTGGGATTACAGTCATGAACCATTGTGCCTGGGCCTTTTTTCCTTGCTGTTGTACATTATATGCATTTTTCTGTTATCATTAGATGAAGAACTATTTCTAGTGACTAATCTTTGTGTAACTGCCGTAATTTACTTAATATTCGGACATTCGGGCTGTACCTAGATTCTTGCCCTTATAATTACTGCTTCAGTGAAAATTTTTCTACATAAGTCTGTGTTTGCATTTCCTATATTTTCCTTAGAATAGAATCATCATGAAGCTTAGAAAAATGGAAGTACATTTTCCAGATATTTTAAGGTACTCTGGACCTTGACCAACCAAATCCTGATATGGAATATAGTTAAAATAGAGATATCAGCCCAAAATAAATGTAAATGTTGAGTTGTTTTGAGCTTGCCTTTTACTCTTGATTCAGTAGCCTAAACTGGTGGATCTTACATCTTCTATTGTTTTCAGAGCATTGCTGAGGTTTTCCGATGTTTCATTTGTATGGAGAAATTGCGGGATGCACGCCTGTGTCCTCATTGCTCCAAGCTGTGTTGTTTCAGCTGTATTAGGGTAAGTTGTATTTCTTTTTACATGTAGCTAGTATATATAGTATATATTGTAAGGATTAACCATTTCCCTTATCTTTTTATTTTACATTTTTTTGCCCTAAAGTGCTTGCTTGCATTGTGCTTGGGGTTGAGGAATACTAAGGTAAATGACAAATTGCCTGCCTTGAAGGATCCTAAATCTAATTGAGGGAATGGAGTTTAGAATGTTTATATTGAAGAATGTGTGGTATCATAAAGAGACACTAAAGAAGTGCTGTGGGGCTCAGAAGAGGACTAGTTTATATGCGTTTGGTGAGTAAGATGGAGAAAAAGTGTTTAATCTTAAATAGCTGCAAGACACTCTAGAGATAAATATAATCTAGGGGCTTTAAAACTTGAGTGTTGGCACTTTGGGAGGCTGAGATGGGTGGATGACAAGGTCAAGAGATCGAGACCATCCTGGCCAACATGGTGAAACCCTGTCTCTACTAAAAATACAAAAATTAGCTGGGCGTGGTGGCATGCGCCTGTGTCCCAGCTACACAGGGGGCTGAGGCAGGAGAATCACTTGAACCTGGGAGGGCAGAGGTTGCAGTGAGC